TATATGTATATATGTTTATGTATATGTATATATATATGTATATATATATATGTATGTATATATATATATATATACATATATGTATATGTATATATATATATGTATATGTATATATATATATGTATATATATATATATATGCATATATGATGTCTAAACTTGCAATTTATTTTATGATGACAGTGCTTGCAACTGCATTTTCTTTGTTCAGAGAAAATTTGCATAAAGCCTGTGAATTATAAATCGGATGTTTTGACTCTATTTTTCCCTTGAATAATCAATATCTTCTGATGAAGTCTGACAGTAAAATCCACAGCACAGACAATCTCTCTTTCAGTGGAGCTGTCTGGGGGTTCACATTTCAAGAGGACACCACCATGACACCAGGCCTAAAGGCCCAGAACTCAAGAATGACTAAGGATAAGTCATGGTAGTTGAAATTTCAGAACTGAACTGCTGCAAAACAGACTTTTTGCAACACGTCTCTGAGTTTCAGAACTTACAGAGCCAGACTGGAGGGTAAAGTCTCCTGAAGAAGCTTTTCCCTTGGTGTGAGCCGCATGGAACAAAGGAAAACTCAAACCTTCCAAAATGGACAGGAACAGAGGTATAAGGTCTGGCACAGTTAGGGACAGAATCTAGTTAATATGTCTTAATGATGTTGATCATTTAATGTGTTTACTTATGAGCAAAGCCAACAGGTTGGATCGCATGGTATGCTATGCTGCAGTAATATGTTTAGAGCTGTTGTTGAAGCTTGGGCATGCTTTATTTCACTAAGGTTTTAACACTGATATAAAATTAGTGTTCATGTTTTTTTCTCATATGTTCTTTACATTTCCATGACCAAATTATGACCATAAGTCATTTAATGGAGTCCCCATGTCTATTCGCTGCTAGCTATTTTAAGAAGGGTAAAGAATCATTTAACTGAAAGTTACTGGTTCCTGATTAAGCAAATCATTTAATAAAACATTATTTGGGCAAGCAATGCTTTATTCACCTCATGGATTTGCATTGTGAATTGGTCTGAAAACATTCTAATTGCTCTAAATTAGAATAGAGCTAATTTAAACACACCCCAAATTCTTCAAGATAAACTGTTTTTCAAACACAAAATCCATCCTACACTGTGAAATGGTTTTCAACCATTTTTTCACTTCCTCTAGTAGCTTAGTTTAGTTGAGTTTCACTAGTTTTTAGTCAAGAGTCTTTAACTGAAATATGTTTGACTTGGAGCTGAATGAGTTTTGTTAATAAATTCACATTTTGAACGGAATTTGTGGTAAATTTATTCCATGCATGTGCAGAATTGTCTATTTGACCATGATTTCAGCTCCATTCACTCTTTCATTTGTGTTTCTAACACACAGCTAGTAGGACATGTGTTCATAAACAACATATGACAGTCCAAATAACATCTGATCAAATAAGATATTTACTATCCTTACTGGGGTGGGAAATAATCATCTTAGAGTGTTACAACAAGACATACAGCACTTGCTTTTTTATCTCTACATTTAATTTTGATATAAGCAGGGTAGAATATTGCACGGTATAATGGTATTGTAATATCATTATAATATTGTTTCATGACCCAAGTATCACAATGAATTTTATATCACTAAACCTATGCCAATACTCACACCCATTTTTAAATACATTTTGAAAATATAAACCTCAGTATAAATTTTCTGTTACCGTAGTCTGACACTCTTATCTTAAATATTGTGTTTTTTTAGCTATTGGTGGAAAATTTGCAATAATTATCAGAAATATGTTTGAAAATTTGTGCATATTCAGTAATTCAGTTGAGTTACTTTTAATAACCTTCAAATAATATGCCTATTAGAATGTATTTGATACTATGAGGAATTGTAATAAAGTAGTGAATAGAAAATTCCAAGCGGAACAAAAGTTAGTTTACAGTTTCTTCCGTGCACATGCAGCGAAACACACGGGATCATTAGCTTTCCTGTTAGAAAGTAGTTCCAAGAAGGTTCTGGTTTCTAGGATTATATATGTGATCGTTTGGAGTAAACATGTTATCTGATCAGCTCCAGATAGAGATCAGCAACGAGCAGTTAACTCCTGCCGAAGAAAAATGCACTGAGGTTAAAGAAATGATCGTCAAGTCCGAAAAGGAGGTGAATGGTCAATGCAGACTGATGGTGGATTTTAGCCCGACTCCTTCGATCATCTTCGACCAAAAAGGTATGAAACACCCTCAGTCCTGAAGGCTTAGTGAATAGAAAGGTTAAGGAAAGTTAGGTGCGATGCAGAACTCGGGGTCTGAATTAAAAGGCTGTTAAATCAAGCATTGTCTTTAAAGAAACATGTAAGTTTTAACTAAAAATGTGTTAAAAAGAGCAGCCTTTTTATTAAACTTTTTCTGACTAGAATATTGTTTGAAGAGCAGACTGACACATCAGTACTTCAGCTCCGGTGCCTCTATAAGCTTGTTGCCTATTTTCGGGCCTTTCTTAATCGGTTACAACCACTGATATCTATATATTCACCGGATATCCGATAGGAAAAAACTGATGTCACCTGCCGCCATCTTGGTACTCCCCACTCTTAGGGAATCGTGCCATAAACATGCCGATGTGTAGAATTTGGCTGCAAAAACAAGCAGTTTCCTGCTGTGGGATTACTTTTCACAGGTTATTATATATATATATATATATATATATATATATATATATATATATATATATATATATATATATATATATATGGCATTTACAAACATGCACTTGTAATTCAATCTTGATGTAAAATCATGGCAATTTAATCAATACATGTATATTACATGTACTTCATCATTTTAGCACAACTATTATCAGATGGGGTGTGTGTGTGTGTGTATATGTGTAATATCTAAGTACAATATTATTATGCTCCCTTAACACACTCATTTTGTTGTGATGGATTTGTATAATATGTTATATTACATGATTTATAGACCTAATGGACTTCATACTGAATATGCAGTGGGATGTGCCTATCCATTACCATGAATTACAGTAATCTTGATGCCAAGAACCAAGAAGTGTGTGTCAAAGTGATAAATTTATTTTTATTTTAAAAGTAAGCCACCCTGAAAATGATAAAATTGTGGTTGTCTGGTGCTGTAGCGCAAGTATTGTTAACATTCTTACTGGTCTAACTAAAAAAAAAAAATAAATAAAATAAATATATATATTGGCCGTTGGAACTACATATTGCTGTGAAGTCCTATATATGTATGTATGTGTATATATATATATATATATATATATATATATATATATATATATATATATATATTTATATATTTATTTATGTAGTACCAACGGCCAAGCCAATAATTACATAGACCCTTCATCGAGTAAGGGCCGTGCTGAGAGAGCAGTAAGGGCAGACAGATCAGACCAAGCTGCCAATATATACACAGACAATTATACATTAAATGAGGCCAACCCTACTTTATGACCCCATACTCTCTGAATCTGGTGAACTTTTAACAGATTTCCAGATCAGTTGGCTTACTGAAAACGAGAATGTTTCACGGGTTACATTGGACCAACTAATTGATCTTATTTTCTTATTTTAAGCATAATTTTTATTTTGTATTGACAGTTAGGAAACTTCCAGAGTTTCCTCTCAGGATGGCCGATTTTTATTCCGACTATGGGTGAGGAAATAAAAGGAAACTACAAACTAGATCCTGTGGAATTCCCTCTCATAAGTAGGATTTTATGACAGATTATCCTCATGTATGGATAGATGCTAATGGATAACAGGGATTTAAGCAGAGAAAAGTAAACACTCTGATTTACAAAAGGTGTGAATGAATGTGTATATATATGTAATTCTGTAATCATGGTGAAGGATGTGTTCTTTAGCTACAATAAAATCTATTTTTTTGTCTTTTTTGTCCAGAACTGCCACAATATTATGTGTTTAAAGAGGAAAAGGATCCCACTGAGCTCAGCCTCCAGGAGGAGAAATCCACCATAGTTAAAGAGGAACCAGAACCTCTGGAGATAAAACAAGAGCAAGAAGAACTAGAACATCTACAGATCAAGGAGGAAGAGGAGCAACTCTGCATCAGTCAAGATGAAGAGAAGTTTGTGTTGAAAGAAGAGACTGATAGCACTTTGGTCATTTCTAATGTGAAAAGTTATTATTATGAAACAGAACCAAACAGGAGCCAGCTCATCTGTCAGCAATCCCCTGATGTTGAGAACCAGGATCAGGAACATGGCAACTCTGAAGACCAAGAAAAAATCAGACATGAAGAGAAGAAAAAAGAGAAGAGATGCCAGAAAACCAGACAGCAGAAAGGCACTGGTGACAGTTTGGAGGAAAAAACACACAACAAAGCTAACCCAGACAAAAAGAAATATTTTTATGAAATGTTTGATGAGATATTTTCCAAAAGCAATCACCTGAATACCCACATGAGAACTCACTCATATGAGGGACCTTTTCCATGTACAACCTGTGGTAAGAATTACAGTGAAAGAATTAGTTTAATCGATCATATGAAAGTGCACACATGTAAGAAACCTTTCAAATGTGACAAATGTGAAAAACGCTTCATTAGTAAAAGCAATTTATCACGTCATATAAGAACTCACACAGGCGAGAGGCCTCTTTTTTCTTGTACAATGTGTGGAAAGGCATACACTGAAAGAAGTGGCTTGGCTTATCACATCAAAATGCACACAGTTGGAAAACCTTTCAAATGTGATTATTGTAACAAGAATTTTAGTCGTAAAAGCAATTTAGCACGTCATATAAGAACTCACACAGGCGAGAGACCTTTTTCATGTACAATGTGTGAAAAAGCATACACTGAGAGAAGTGGTTTAACTTATCACATGATAACTCACAAAGGTGAGAAGCCTTTCACGTGTGCTACTTGTGAAAAAAGGTTCAGTCATAAAAGACTTTTAGAAGTTCACATGAGAACTCACACAGGTGAGAAGCCTTAGGTTGCATTACCTGTAGAAAAGGTTTCTGTTGTAAAAGCCTATTTATTGATCGTATGAGAAGTCACACATGAGAAAAGCATTTTTCATGTATGTCCTGTGATAGAAGTTTTATAAAAAGATTTGTCTTGAACGTTTTTGTGTTTCTTGTGGGGTTTTTTTTTATTTCAGTTTTACTTGCTAAACTTTATTACCTTTGTTAAGAGCATCTCAAGTTGATGATCTTCTGAAGATTACATTAAAAGATTAACCATATTTTAAAGGTTTAATTTTCACATTTAAAAGGGATTATATTTCGAAGGGATATATATTAATTTGTCTTAATTAAAATGAGCATTGATATTTTTTATTTATAAAGTACCTTAAGAAAACTACAAGTTGAAATAATTACAGATTTAGACAATTGATTTTATTGCTTAGTGAATACATGTTAGAGATTGATTTTCTGGTAGGCCATAAAGGAATTGACCATTTGTGATGAATAAAGTTTTCCAAATTTGAATAGAACTATCACACATTATTTCTTTGGAGTAAATACTGCTAATGGTATAATGGCAACAAAATGGACACATGATACCTGGAATGTATCTTTTTGTTTCAATATTTTCATCTATGCTTTGGTTAAAGCCTCTTGGAATTGCAACATTTTTACCTAAAAGGCTTGGCTCTCAAATCAATAGAACTATATCATGTTCAACATAGAGAAGCCTTTAATGCAAGGACTCGACAATGAAGACATATTTTATTGAAAATTTCACACTAGAAATAAAAAAAGGTATTGTTAGGCCAATTTTGAGAAAAACTTAGACTACTCAGAGGGTAGGCAAAACAAGTTAAGTTTATTTTTAAGCACAATTCTGTACAGAGATTAAGTCAAAGTGCTTTAAATGAAAAAACTAAATAAATAAATAAAATTGAAGGAAAATAAAAGCCAGGAAATATACCGGTATATATATATAAAAAAAGGGAGGAATAGTAGAGGTTGGTGGATCGATCCTAATATTGTTGGTGAACTTAAATAATGTAAAAAGTTGTTTCCCTGCATGCAATGACTGCAGCAGATTCCGCAAAGTCTTGCCATTGCACTTTGCTGCTCACCCTACCCTCACTGTCTTGCACTGTCACGTGGCTCAGCAGGACCAAACAAATTAGGAATATTTGTGGCTTTGTGCTAATTTTGTTTTATTGTGCAAAAATATTTGCATGTTTCAAATTGCTTTGAAGCTTGGTTTTGTTGTTCTGCTGTAATAAACTCAAAATCACAAAACGATCAACAGTTTCATGATACATTGAGATTAAATACAAGAAACTATTGGTATTAATATTGACAATACTGAGACTGTATTTACTTTGTATAGAGTTCATAATAAACTGTCCTGTTCTCTACTCAGTGGTTTACCTGCTCTTAAATCCAAACGTTTATTTAGCTGTCTACATAACAAGCCAACATCCATATATTGTCTTACTTATTGGGAGTTAAATGTTCAGGCTACACTTTGATCAGTGTTTACAACAATCAATCTAATCATGTGTTACTCTCAAAGGGACTTCCGGCAACTGAAACCACTATGAAGAATGCACTCTCAAATACTCCTTTCACACTGGCTTACAAACCATTTAAACCTGGAAACCATTACCTTTTATAGGCAGTGGGAACAGCTCAATGACCTATGTGGACCGGGGTCAATTTGGCAAGTGACCTGGGTTAAAAATGCCTTCCAACAGCTCTTCTCTGATTAGTTTACAAAGGGAGCAGCAGACCTGGGTCACCTGTGCATTAACGTGATACCAATGAGCCCAACTGACATAGATCACAATATTGACCCAGTTGCATGTGCTCTAACAAGCCAAAACAACTCTGCTTGCATTCAGTAAACGTGGCACAGCACTGGTAGGAGGAATTTGGATGGACAAAAGCGCCAAACAAAAGCTCTTTCTTTGCCATGGCGTTGTTCCGATTCTTTACTTTCCTGATTTCTGTTGCACAGGTGACATCATCAGCACTAACCCATTATGATAGCTTCACCAGACATGCAGCTGTTTGGGGACAGAGGCTATACACAACTTATCAGCGGGGAGTCAGATTCAGCTTTTTGTGCCATTGGAAAGGGAGCCTAATGCCGATTGTTAGCGGGTCGATCCGTGTTTAAAGAACCCACCTTAACCCACTAATTTCAGTGGGAAAGAGACTAAACACACTAGATTGAAAATAGTCAAATTCTAAAAGACAAATTCTAACAACATTTGTAGTAAACAGGCATAAGAAATGAGAAAACAAGATTAAGAAAAAAATAGAGAACATTATTAAAGGGGGATATGATAGTGGCAAATGGGGAAGCTGTGACACTAAGGAGAACTAATATGCTACTTTAGTGTACAATATAAGCTTGGGGCTTGGGGGGGCTTTTTGGTAAAGTGAGGGATTTAGGACCAGTATGGTACTTCACAGGATTACTTGGTACAGGAAGTAATATCATGCAATGAGGAATAAAGACACCGAGAGGGAACCTATCTTTTTTTTTTTTTTTTTTGCAAGACACTAAGAGGAAAAAAGCCTGAGACCTGATGTTACTCACCTTTTTAACAACAGGGGGCGGTATGCACCGAACTATTGTTTGTGATCCACAGGAGGAGGAGGAGAAGAAGAAGAGCAGGAACCGTTAGCTTTTGTTCATTTAATAGAAGACTCCACACGGTTCTGGTTTTTGGGGTAAATATGTGAACATTTGATAGTAAAATGTCTTCGATTGAGCCTCATAGAGAAATGATCAACGAGCCTTTGACTCCAGATGAGGAAACATCATCTGATTTTAAAGAAGTTATAAAATCCGAGGAGGAGGTCATTGGCCATAGCAGACTGCTGGATTTTAGCCGCCGGACACCCCTGGTCATTTTACAGCGATTAGGTATGAAACACCAGCGGTACGCATGTTAATATGACAAGATATAATAAAAACATACAATTGAAAAAAATGGGGAGAATGGATACAAAAAACATAAACGAATAAATATCATCAGAAGAGAGCTAAAGTATTGTTTGGCTTTTCAAGTTTTAGGGAATTATTAACTTAATAATTCAAATTAAATAATATTTTAGAGGAATAATACTTATTCTTCATATTAGAAAAAAAAATCCTCCTAACTACGTTTCTATATAGTTATAAATGGGTAATTAATCAGAGTAGTCATTCATAAATCTACCCTAGTCTGTTAGTAGGGATGTGTGAAATGGCTAAAACATGTATTATGAAGCCTTTGATATAAATAATTATAGATTTATTTTTGTCCCTATTTGACACACACACACACACACACACAGCCCTCGATCAGAATGCTTTGTGTTTTGGTTTTAGTCCAGACAAAATGATGGATCTTTCAATTACACATATTCTCTGTTGATATTGAACAGGTGCCTATTGTGACCTATATTAATATTGTTTTTGTTGCCCAGCAATATCTTTAAGTCTTAGGCTTAGTTCACCAAATTTGTTTTATCTTGATGTCAATTGGGTTTCATAAAGCTGGTTTTCTCTGAGATGAACTCAGTTACTGTAGCAATTGACTCAATAAACTTACCCTGTTTATAACCAGGCTTAGGGCTGACTAAATTCAAACAATGTGTGTTCTTTATTGATACATCAACAGTGAGCACTGTTAATGACGGAAAGGTTATACTGCAAAAACGATCTAGTAATAAGTCAGCATTTCTTAGATTAAGTGTATTTACCCTTAATCTGAGTATTTCTACTCTTAAAATAAGATAACTGGATAATATCCACTTGAAATAAGGCAATGAATTATTTTTTCTTATTTTAAATGTAAATTGTTTTGTTAAATTTTCGAAATGTCTCACTTACCTCCTCAATAAAAAAAATCACTTATTTTAAGAAAAAATGACGTAAATGTATTGAAATGTGCTGGATAGGGCTGCAAATAACCACTATTCTGCTCAATCATTAATGTGTTGATTGTATTTCTTCTTTCTTTCAGCTAAAAGCTTGTTTTAGAGTATCTATTCTCAAGTTAATGATTAATCAATTACTAAATTAATTAATGATTATTTGAATAATCGATTAACCATTAGTTAGCTCCATCATTTGCCCAAATGCAAGGTGCCATTAAAAAGTGGCAACGAATTATTAGCCACATATCATGCAATTAATTTGATACAATCCCACATAAACATTATAATTTGTTTTGAACTCAAGCAATTGTTAATAATTCTGAAATGTATAAATCTTTCCTATATAATATCTGATATTTTCGTGAAAGTAACTTAACTGTAGTCCGTTAAAGGCATCCATACACAGATTTATGGCTGCAGATGAAGGAGCTGCAATTTTAAGGAGAACTCTCAGTGTTTGCATGATGCCATACCATCAGCGCAGTTTCAAAGCACCACACTAAGTCCAAATAAAAAGAAAACATTAGCAATGGATTGCTTCAAGTGTGACTATGTATGATATAAGCTTTTGCTTTCTTTTCCCCAGATCTTTCACAATATTGTGTGTATAAGGAGGAGGAGGAGGATCTCCTTGGGTTCAGCCACCAAACAGAGAACTCCATTAAATTTAAAGAAGAACCAGAACCTCTGCAGATAAAACAAGAACAAGAGGAAGTAGAATATCGACAGATCAAACAGGAAGACAACCAACTCTGCATCACTCAGGATGAAGAGCAGATTTTGCTGAAAGAGGAGACAGAAAACATTTTGATCATTTCTAATGTGAAAAGTAATTACAATGAAACAGAACCAAAGAGGTACCAGCTCATCTGTCAGGCATCTTCGGACGTTGGGAACCAGGATCAGGAGGGAAGGAATTCTGAAGACCAAGAAAAAATAAGAAATGAAGCGAAGAAAAAAGATCAGAGATGCCAGAAAACAGGACAGCAGAAAGGTACTAATGACAGCTCAAAACAAAAAACACTGAAGGAAACTAACCCAGATAATGGTTCCCTTTCTCAAAACACTGATTTCTCTCAAGAATTGACAACTCACACAGGGAAGAAGCATTTCCCATGTAAAACCTGTGGAAAAAGTTACAGTCACAAACGTGGTTTAATTAATCACATCAGAACTCACTCAGGCGATAAACCTTTCGCATGCCCCTTTTGTGGTAAAAGTTTCTACCAGAAATGCCTTTTAAAGATTCACATGAGAGCCCACTTAGGCGAGAAACCTTTTCTGTGTGCAACATGCGGAATAAGTTTTTGTCATAAACGTACTTTAGTTTATCACATGAGAACTCACACAGGTGAGAAGCCTTTCGAGTGTATTACTTGTGGAAAAAGTTTCAGTCGTAAAAGCCATTTAACAAACCACATGATAACTCACATGGTCGAGAAGCCTTTCACATGTTCAACCTGTGGAAAGGGTTATAATGAAAAAAGTAGCTTAACCTATCATATGAGAATCCACACAGGCGAGAGGCCTTTCACATGTAGTATTTGTGAAAAAAGTTACCGCCATAAAGGCAGTTTAAGGCAGCATGTGAGAGCTCACACAGGTGAGAAGCCTTTTGCGTGTACAACTTGTGAAAAAAGCTTTGTTTGTAAAAGCCTTTTATCAAGTCACATGAGAATCCATACAGGGGAGAAGCCTTTTTCATGTGTGACCTGCGGAAGAAAGTTTACCCATAGAAGCAGTTTTGCTGTGCACATGAAAACGCACAAAGATGAGATGGCATAGTGTGCTCCTTTCTCACTGAAAGTACTGGCATTAAAGTACCTGGATATTTATTTTACCCAAGTGAAATTTGTGTGCTTTTTTTGTGTTAAATGCTCTTAAAGGCCGCAGAGGGCTTATATAATGCAGACTTATGATATGTAAGAAGGTTATTAAGAATACTGTACAATACTGAATGCTGGAAATTTTGTCAAATTCAGTTCTTTCCCATTTTAATCTAGTTACATTCTTAAGATTATAATCATATTTTTAGTCCAGAACTGTATCTGGGTAAGTGTTAGCACAATATTCAAGCCATTATGTGGAAGAGCTGAGGTCCAATTAAGTCAGTCAAGTAAATTAGCCCTTCTATAGAAAAATCTGTAATGTTCATATTTATCATGGAATACCAAAGGGTCAAAACAAGGTGTGTGCATATTCTGATGATTTGTATATAAATATATATATATTATATAATATAAATTCTTCTTGTCATATCTAGCTTATTTTGTTGCCATTTTTTGATGGCCCCATTTGTACCAGATGATGGCGCTAATAACCTGTCTATTACCTAATGTGCCCCTGGTGCTGGATGAAAAAAATACACAGTTTGACTCATTATGAATACCTTAAATTGTTAAGGACACTTAAGCAATAGTGGAAGTGCCTCAGTGGTTGCCATAAGTGCAATCCGAGTAAAGTTGGTAGTTATGTAAGGACTAGGACTAGTTTACATAGGGACTTCAAGATGTACCTAGAAGCTATATGGTTTCCAATCTTTTGAGTGAAAGTAGGTATAAGCACAGCCCATCTCACAGAGTATAACCAAAATATGTTGTTCCTTTGTATGTTCTGTGTGATACTTAAGAATTTCCTCACCTTCATATGGTTTTGGTTCTATGATGAAGGACTTTAGCTATGAGCTACATTTGTCTAACTTTTTTTGTAGTTCTTTCCAGAAGGCTGTAGTTCCAATTTGACCAGTGTCATTCATTCCTGTATTGTAACCATATTTGAAAGCTGAAGAATGTCTGGATTCAATACAGCAGTCTGAAGCTCCTTTCCTACCTTGAATAGTCTTCTTACTGTTGATCTCGCAAAAGGTGAAGGGATAGGACCTAGGAAAAGGATATAATAATTTGAGGTAAATGGATCAAGCCATACTCAGCTTTAAACCTGTTCCAAACAAAGCTAAGTTAACTGGCTCATTTGCCATAGCAATCAAGTCAGGCTCTGTCTGCTTTATGAGACTGTAATGACAAAAATAAGCCAGACTTGAATAACTAAGTCTGGCTTAGAAATGAAGCTAGCTTTATGAAAGACCACTCTGAAAAGTTTTTGTCTGAATATTTCCATTGATTTCTTTTCCAATCTTTTATAAATTTTAACGTTTAATCCAAATGTGTATTTTCCAGTCTCTACAGACTTGTTGTATAGTGGAAAATGACTAAATACAAGTTCTAAGTACACCTGTATCCATAAAAAACGTACACAGAAGTCAGTTTGCCATTGTGGTCTTTTTCTGTTAGTTTACCATCTGATTGTGAATTTCTCAAAAGGTTTATAAAAACCTTCTACTTTAGTATTTTTTTTATCACCTTTAATAATTTGTGATTTCTCTTTTTATTGCTGCCTTCGTTGACTGAAATAATTTCGGTGAGAAACATTTTGCAACCATCTATCAATCTCTAACATAACTGGAGAAATTTTGGCCCTCTCTTTACCTAAAGCTGTGAAATGTTTTTGGTTGGTTGTTTTCAGAATCTCATACAGTTCTAAATATTAGTTTTATTTACATTTACATTTCTTAGTTTAAATTTATATTTACTCATATATTTTATACACTTTATTGAAGAGGTTTCTGCTTCGTGGAGCTGTGTCCATTAGCCGAATTCTTCCCTGAGTATGACTTCATATTTTAATTTAATTCTTAAATTCTATCATATACCTCAGGCTGCAGTTTGCAGACAAGAGGAAAGGAGATAATTTTAAAGAACTTCAGATAAAGTTTAAGAAAATAACAAGAAGATTTAGATTTAAGCATACTTGGTTAAGTAATACAAAATAAAAAAAACACAAAAAAAAAATATTTGCAAGCTGCTAATAAACAGGCGAAGAAGAAAAACAAGCTTTATTTTAGATGTACAGCCTATAAAGAAAGTATCAGAATTCAAATACCAGAGTTTGTCATTGGGTATCAAATGCACACGAAGAGGCAATCCCTCATGTAGAAACCTGTTGAAATGAGTTTCTTACCGACCTGATTAAATAAAACTAAAAACAACGACCATGGCAAAAACCTCCCACAGTTGACTAGATTTGCCATGGCTACTTTTTCTTTATTCACAATTAAAAAGAATAACAAACATAAAATATTTTGGAGGAGAAATAAACCCATGTAATCTCATTGTAACAACACAAATATCCTGTTGTGTTTTGGTCATGGTATAAACAACAGTTATCTTCCAGCTGGCTTGGAGCTCATCTGCTTGGCTGTGTGTTTCCTGGATGGGGCCGCCTGTGGAGCTGGTTGACAGTTGCCTTTTGTATCTCTGCTTCTTTCTGTATGTCTGCTTCCGTCTCCTTGAACCCCAGTCGGACTCAGCAGATGGCCGCTCACACTGAGCCTGGTTCTGCTGGAAGTTTCTTCCTGTTAAAATTGAGTTTTCCATCTGCATTGTCGCTACAATCATGCTTAGTGTGAGGAATTGCTGTAAAGTCAGCTGGTTTTCCTTAGAAAACATCTTAACCAATCTGACTGGATGATCTGGTTGAATTGTCTCTGTAAAGTTCCTTCAGATGATGTGCTGTGAATTGGTATTATATAAATTAACTTAATTAAATTTAATTATCTGCATTAATTATGAATCTCTTCTCAATTAAATTCTTTGAACGATAAAAATCTGGGTTCTCACCAGTGTTTTGAATACATTTAGCTGCTTATTTTATTTATGAGAAGCATGTCTGTTGGAGGGCTTTAAGTCAGCGCTATGAAAATTGTAAATTTTTGGGTCCAGCATAATTGTTTTTCTGTCATATGTTAATTTACAAATCTTATTCTTTAATATAAATAATCTGATTTAACTGTACAACAGGGCTGTTGCTGTGCCACTATTAACCTGACTGTGACCTTAGTACAATAATGTGTGCAAAACACAAGCAAATAAAAATGCTAATAATTCAAATTAAAACAAATACCAGAAAAAAACTAAAATAGATTTTTTCTTTTACTGTTCTATACAAAAATGTCTTGAACATGTCTGTATTTATTGAAACTAAAAAAGGATGCACTAGGTTAAATGTCTAAACTGATTATATTTACTAATAAACACTCTGTGTGTCTGCTGTTAAGCTGGGTGTGACAAAACTGAAGAGACACAGCTGACAGTCTGATTTGCTCCAAAGTTTGTCCTCAACTCCAACCGCACTGCCATTAGCAAACGGCAGTGGGTCCTGATCAGGTGGACCAACAGAACTGTTTTCCATTGATTGTTGATTAACAGGCCTTTCTGAACTGCAATCATCAGAATCAGCTATTTTAAGCCAAGAAACATTGAAAACCTGCTGGACAGTGACCCCTGAGTACCGACATTGGTCATGCCTGCTGTAGAGCCTTCATGATGTGGGACTTAATGTCTATAGTCACTGAGGACTGTTAGCTGAGTTTTCTATGCTACTGGAACAAGGCAGGAGGTCTTCCACATCAGTGGATCAGGCTAAAGTTGAACAGGTGCTGTAGAATCTCACAGAGCTGCTCTGCACAGGCCTCTGGGGCGGACACCACCAGGACCTTGTGACTTATTGCGGGTTATTTCCTCTTTATCTGACTTCTAGAGACAGACAGTCGAAAGGAGGAGAGAGCGGCACCACGGTCTGCTTTGGAAGAGAACAAAGGCATAGAAGCAGGAGGGTATGTGCCAAGGGGAATGAAACATTTGAAGTTTGAGAGGGAACCTTTTTGGTCAAAAAGAGTGCAGGAGAGAAGGATGCTGAGTTTGCTCCTGAACTGAACCTATTGAAGGATCTTTGATCATCAAATGATAGAATTTAAGAAAAAATATAAGTCTAATGAAATAACAATAAATGTTATGTATTTACATTTTGATATATTCACTAAGACTGTGGCTTTTAAGAAATATTTTTACTCCTCTTGAGCTACTAAATGACATAAGAAATGTTTTCGCACCAGGCACAAATCCAAGCGCTCAATTAAAAGGAGTTGATCACTTGCAGAAAAGGAATAGAGCGAGAGCACAGCTGGTAGAGCAAAGTTAGTGAAGGTTGAGAATGTGCCAGACATGTTTTAAGCAAGGTGGTTTGATATTTATATGCTCTACACCCGTCTCACTGTACACTCTGATCGGTGGCATAAAATATAAACCCTATTGGACTGGCTGCAGCAATAAGGCATATTGTGAATATTTAATGCATGTGTTAAGTACTTTCTTTTTTTAACTGAAGTAAAGGACCAGATATTTAAAAAAATGAATCTGAACTCTTTGCACTTTCTATCATTGCTGGGTCATTTACCTTTAGCTGGAGCTGAGATGAAAGTCTATCTGCTCTCTACCCCTGATCTTAATTCTAAAGATGATTTGATTAAAGCTCCATATGGTACGAGTGTATGTCTGTGTTAAGGTGACATGGAATATAAATGTCTAAACATCGAGGGAACAATTCCATTGACAGCGTTAAAAAAGAAACTGTCGTTAAATGTAGTTGTGTTGTTCTCTTAATGGATAATGCTGATGATAGGAAACAATATTACTTTTTAAGTTAAGTTTTGGTTATAATTATTATTTTGTTGTGTATAGGAGTTTCAAATTGCCAAAGTGAACTGTTCCCAGGAAGAGGCTCTTTTGACACAGATATAGAACCAGGATATAAAACAAAGGATGCTTTTATTTTGACCAGGCCCAAATATAAGATTGATTCAATTCAATTCAGTTTGTTTATATAGTGCCAAGTCAACAACACGTCATCTCAAGGCACTTTTGAGATTGGTTAGGAAAACCATTGCATTTTGTCGTTGACTCCTCTTCAATCCCTCACACGAAGGATGCATGTAGCGACAATGGAGAGGAAAATTCCCTGTTAACAGGAATACATTTCCAGCAGAACAAGGCTCAATGAGAGTGGCCATCTGCCAAGGCCGACTGGGGTTCTAGGAGACAGAAGCAAACAAACATAAAGAAGGAGATATAAAAAAAACTCAACATGCTCCACAGGTGATCCCATCCAGGAAAGACAGCCAGACAGATGAGCTCTGAGCCATTTCTGCTAGTCACAGTAAAAGAAACAGGACTATGCTGAAAACAGGCCATGCTCCAACATCTAGAAACAGAGATGTCGATGGCAGTGGTACAGCTGATGATTTAATCCAGGATGGACTCACAGCTGAAAAGGAACAGACCAGATGAAGCTACTATGACAGGAAAAAGCAGAGAGAACATAAACCTATGAGTGAAACTTGACAGATGCTGCAGAGTGGGAGAATAGAGATAGAATGAATCAGTATGAGGAAAGGTGGTCCCTATGTGATCCAACAGCCTATACATATAGAAGCACAAGTAGAGAAAATAGCTCGGGATAACCTAACTATTTTGAACAAGGTAAAGTAAAGGCAGAACCACAGTAGGGCCAAGGTAGAGCAAGAAAAATGTCTGTGCAGACTGATCCCTGCAATAAGATGGAGCTTAGTCATTTAAGGCTCTATATGTGAAAAGGTGGATTTTAAATTATATTCTGGATTTAACAGGAAGCCAATGGAAGATAAGCTAGGATAGAAGATATATGATATCTCTTTTTAATTTTCATCAGAACTCTGGCTGCAGCATTTTGGATCAGCTGAAGGCTTTTAACTACAGATTCTGAACTTCTAATAAATGTAAATAATTACAAGAGTCCAGCCTTGAAGTAACAAATGCATGGACTAGTTTCTCAGCATCACCCCATGACAGTATATTTCTAATGTTTGTAATATTTTGGAGATGAAAGAAGGAAATTCTAGAAACCTCTTTGATATGTAATTTAAATGACAAAAAAACCAAAACAACCAAGAACAGTTTAATCCCACCCGAATGAAGTAACTGACTAATCAGCTTATTTCTCAAAGACTCTGGTCCAAAGACAATAAGTTAAATTTTTTCTGCATTCAGATGCAGAAAGTTAAGAGTCACTCAAGTTTTTATCTTTTAGTCTTAAAGACATGCCGGTAGCCTATGTAATTCAATTTAGTTCAATTCAGTTTTTGTATCTAGTACCAATTCACAACATGTCCTCTCAAGGCACTTTACAGGTACAAATCAACTAGAATATACAGTCAAATTGATTAAAAGTTTTCTGTCTAAGGATAACCAGTTGATTGCATCAACTAATTGACTCGAAGCAATCCCTCACACCAAGCATGCTTGTAGCATGTAGGAAAAACTCCCTTTTAACAGGAAAAAAACTGCAGCAGAACCAGGCTCAGTGTGAGCGAGGCTGACTAGGATTCAAGGAGACAATCAAGAGATTTGTTTCATCTGGATTCATATACAGATATAGATGAGTATCATCAGCAAAACTGTGGAAATTAATCCCATGCTGTTTATTAATTCTACAAATTGGGAGCATATATATATATATATATATATATATATATATACGGTAGTAATGAGAATTGGTTCTAGCACTGATGCCTGTGGTACTCCACAGGTAACCCTGGAGCTTCTTGAAGATTTATCATTGACATTAACTGAAATTTGTCAAATAAATCAGATTTTATCCAAAATAGTTAATTCCTACAAAATGTTCAAGTCTATCTAAAAGGATATCATGATGGACTACCAATACAGATTACAAATCTATGCACAGATATTTAGGGCGTGATCCCTCTTGATCTTTAAATACAGAATGTTTTCTAAGCATCCAGAAAGCACCTATATCTTGCAATATTTGATTCTTCTAGCCTAGGGGTCTAGCTTTAAGGACAGTAAAGACACAAGCTTTCCATATTTGGGATCTAAGGATCCCAGATATGTGTTTTTGACTGGTTTGATAATTGTTCAGGCATTTATATATAGAATTTTTTTAGCACTCCCAGCATTACACTATGGTTCAGGAATATTAAATAAAAACTTGAGGCCTAAAGTATTATCAGAAGCCACATTAATCATGCCTTTTGTTCTTTTTGTCTTGTGTAAATACCAAACGATGCTATAAGCTTTTGTTTTCTTTTTATTTCCAGATCTCACACAATATTGTGTGTTTAAAGAGGAGGATCTTACTGAACTGAGCAACCAGGAGGAAACGTCCACTTTAGATCAAAAGCAATTAGAACCTGAGCATTATCTGGTCAAGGAGGAGGAGAAGGACCTCAGCATCAGTCCAGATGAGGAACAGCTAGTGAAGAAAGAGGAGACTGATAACATTTTGAGGATTTCTTCCAATGTTCAAAGAATCCACAATGGATCAGAACCAAACAAGAACCAACTCAACCACTGGGCCTCCCCTAAACTTAAGGACCAGGATAAAGAGGGATACAACTCTGAAAACCAAGGAAAAAAGGGAAATGAGAAGCAAGTCCAAGGTGATAGAAGCCAGAAA